CCTTACTTGCCACCACCACCCCTACCCGCCGCCCCTAAGCCAAGCTTCTGTGGCCACAGGGTTCCCATCTTCTCAGCAGACTCTACATCATCCTTCATAAACATGTTAGGCTATTCTTCCTACAACACTGCTCGGGACATGGAACCCTGTGGATCACTATACAGACCTTTAACATGACATTAAGAGATTCTCTTGCTCTTTCACACATACTCCTTTCCCTCACACAAGCCATGCCCCCGGCTTTTGGTGCACATAGTGTGGCCATCTTTGGAATTAGACAAATCCGAGTTTGAATCCCATCCCTGCCAATTACTGGATTACCTAAGACAAATTATTTAACACCTCTGGACCTTGAGTTCTTCATCTAGTATATTAACAGTACTACTTTCAGAAGGTTGTGAGATGTCAGCAAAATTTTACATGTAAAACAGCCCAGCACCAATGGCAGAATAAGCACTGGGTAAATGTTAGCTCTTGTTGTCAGTATAATTTGCACCTGCCATTCTCTGTTTCCTTCTGTCCCCATGAAACCCAGTGATTTCCATCTTTCAAGGCCCAGCCCCAGTAGCACCCTGCCTTAGAACCTCTTTGTGGCCATGCTAGGCTAGAACACTGTCCTCTCTACCCAATCATAGCTCTTGTTTGTTTGTGCTGCTTTCCTAAAAGTTTCTTGATACAGAGTTTGGGATGCTGGGAACATGGAGCTGCTCAGAACGTTCAGGGGCTTGTGGTAACCAGAGCAGGAAGAAGTGATCAGAAACCCCATTTGTCCTCTACAAGAAAGCCTTCTGAAGGTGACACCAGAGGCCTGGCCTCCAGGCCTTTGTTGTTGGATGTTTTTGCCTCCCCATCCCAAGAAGAAGGGGACACCAAGGAAACCTGTGGTGCTTAGTGGGTATCTGTAGGTATGTCTTAAGGTGATGAGGTTTCCAAAGAACACGTTTCAGGTGTCTTGACATTTCTCAGAAGATGCATTGCATTGTGCAGAGGGTGTTTATTTGTTCTGCAAGGTAAGATAAGTATAGACCCTCCACCACACTCTAGCCTTCCTCCCTGGATTCCATTCCAGAAGGGCATCTGCTGCTGACCTCTTCTGCTAGAATTTGGTCTCTTAGCACCTCTGAAGCCCATATGTCCTCCATTGTCCATCTTGCTTGATTGTCTCTTCTCCGAGGTAGGAGAAAGAACCTGAAGAGGTCCTACCTCCTTTGGTGAGCTGAGGGGGCAGAAAAGCTGGATGGTCACAAAGCTTTTTGTAGCTCTGAGTGTTTCTGGATGTGTTGAGTACCTTCTGGGAGCTGGGTCCTGTGTTAGAGACTTGTGGGGATGAGGGAGTGGGTCAGAGATGTACAAAAAACATACAGTATTACTTTGAATGTTTTCATTCATTCAACATATACTTACACCTATTTTATGCGATAAGAACTGAGATACTTTGTTGAATGAGGTTCTCCTTTTTTTTTCAAGGTAAAAAGCTGTTTATACAACTAAATATTAGAAACCATCTAAATAAATAATAGGAGATCAATTAAGTAGCCATATAATTAGCCATATAATTAATGCAATAATTAAAATAGCATTTTAGTTTTTTATTAGCATGTAAAATACTGTGGTATGTAAGGACACAAAATGCAGATAAGAAATGTATAATGTGTTTTTTTCCAACTACGACTGACATTCAATATTTTATTAGTTTCAGGTGTACAGCATAGTGGTTAGATATTTATATAACTTAGAAAGTGATCCTCCCCCACTCTAATGTCTAGTACTCACCTGGCACCATACAAAGTTATCACAATATTTTGACTATATTCCCTATATTGTATTTTACATCCCTACGACTATTTTGTAGCTACCAATTTGTACATCTTAATCCCTTCACCTTTTTCACCCAGCTGCCAATCTCCCTCCCTTCGGACAGCCATCAATTTATTCTCTGTATGTATGAGTCTGTTTCTGTTTTGTTTGTTCATATATTTTGTTCTTTAGATTCCACATATAAGTGGAATCATATAGTATTTGGTTGTCTTATTATTTCACATACTGTAATACCCTCTAGGTCCATCCACATTGTCGCAAAATGTAAAATTTCATTATTTTTTTACGGCCGAGTAGTATTCCATTGTTAAATGTACTACATCTTTATCCAAACATCTGTGAATAGATACTTAGGTTGCTGCCATGTCTTGGCTATCGTAAATAATGCCACAGTGAACATAGGGATGCACATATCTTTTCAAATTAGTGTTTCGGATTTCTTCAGATAAATTACCCAGAAGTAGGATTGCTGGGTCATATAGTAGTTCTATTTTTAATTTTTTGAGGAACCTCCACGCTATTTTCTATAGTGACTGCACCAATTTACAATCTCACCAGCAGTACATGAGGGTTCCCTTTTTGCCACGTCCTCTCCAACACTTGTTGTTTGTTGATTTTTTTTTTTTGATAACGGCCATTCTGACAGGTGTGAGGTGATATTGTGGTTTTAATTTGCATTTCTCTGATGATGAGTGATGTTGAGCATCTTTTCATATGTCCATTGTCCAGCTGTGTATCCTTTTTGGAGAAATGTCTATTCAGGTCCTCCGCCCATTTTTAAATCAGATTGTTTGTCTTTTTCGTGTTAAGTTGTATGAGTTCCTTATATATTTTGGATATTAACCCTTTATCTGTTGTATCATTGGCAAATATCTTCTCCCACTCAGTAGGTTGTCTTTTCGTTTTGTTTATGGTTTCCTTTGCTTGCAAAACTTTTTAGTTTGATGTAGACCAACTTGTTTATTTTTTCTCGTTTCTCTTGCTGGAAGAGACATAACAAAAAAATATTACTTGGAGCAACGTCAAGAGAGTTTACTGCCTATGTTTTCCAATAGGAGTTTTATGGTTTCTGGTCTTACATTTAAATCTTTAAACCATTTTGAGTTTATTCTTGTATGGTATAAGAAAGTGATCTAGTTTCTTTTTTTTTTGCATTTATCCGTTCAGTTTTCCCAACACCATTTATTGAAGAGACTGTCTTTACCCCATCGTATATTTTTACCTCCTTTGTCATAGGTTAATTGACCATATAGGTGTGAGTTTATTTCTGGGCTCTCTATTCTCTTCCATTAATCTACATGTCTGTTTCCATCCCAGTACTATGCTATTTTGATTACTATAGCTTCGTAGTATAGTTTGATATCAGGTAGCATGATACTTCCAGTTTTGTTCTTTCTGGTGTTTGCGTTGGCTATTTGGAGTCTTTTGTGGCTTCATATAAATTTTAGGGTTATTTGTTCCAGTTCTGTGAAAAATGCCATTGGTATTTTGATAGGGATTGCATTGAATATGTAGATTGCTTTGGATAGTATGTACATTTTAATGATATTAATTCTTCCTATCCATGAGCATGGTATACGCTTTTATTTATTTGTATCTACTTCAGTTTCTTCAGTGCCTTATAATTTTCTGAGTACAGGTCTTTTACTTTCTTGGTTAAATATATTCCTAGGTGTTTTGTGTTTTTTGTTTTTTATGCAACTGTAAATGGGGTCGTTTTTTAAATTTCTCTTTCTGGTAGTTCATTATTGGTATAAAACTGCAGCCGATTTCTGAATATTAATTTTGCA